TGAGGGGGTACATGAATGTCGCCACATGCAAGGACCCGGTATGGACACTGGTTAAGGAGTTTTTTTAGAAGTATGAGGCGGGGGAGTTGCCGCTGCGCGACAACAAATGCCCAAAGGACTTGCCCGGAAAGCAGGAAGGCCGGGTGCCGGGCCAATACACTGAAGAGGTGCAGGGGAAGAAGGAGTTGTTCCATTGCATAGCGGCTAAGGACAGGGGACCAAACGCTACCGTGTCCTTCAAATATCTCATGCCATCAAACTTCAAATGTTATGGAGATATGACGAGGCGAGAGAAGAAAATTGCATTGCRGTTGATGATAGATAAGAAGGTTATCGCCACTACCCGACTGGTTCCTCCAGGGAAGTTGAACATGAGCAACCTCCTCGACATCATGCAACGGGAAAGATACATGATGCGTCTGTTCAACTACATCGTCTTCAAATCGRAAAACAAAGAGGGGAAAGAATGGAAGGACGGGAACTTTATCGACTACGAAGGATTGGAGAAAAGGTTCGGTGTGAAGGCAGCCGAATGGGATGAGGAGAGGGATAGAATCCCTTTGGAATATGTCAGGAGGGTTCCTAAAAGACTCGGCGGAGAGCAAGAGGAAAAAGGCCTGAAAGGAGCTGGCCTGAAGGACACCGCGGCGTAGTATAGGGACGCACCTTTTCACTTCAAGTACTTCGTGTACCATGCGATTGGGAGAGTGGACTTGCCGACAACAGAGTTGCGGCGGTTGAAGAACGCTGCCCTTAATCTTAGTTGGGAGAAGAAACAGCGATGGTCGACATTGCTACCGGTCAACATGCAACCGAAGGAGTTGCTGCCTGCAGGCGACGAAATTGTGACTGCGGCCACGAACTTGAATTGCAAGGCGGCCATCCTGGATCCCGCCAACCCGAAGGATTGCTTTGTATGGACGCCGACCGATTTCGATTCTCTGCGCAAAATGATGACGAAATTGTGCGGTAATAATTAGATTCTGATTGTATTTGCTCCGCAAAAACAACACAAGGTCGTCATGAAGCAACTTTACAACTGGGACGATGCAGAGGCGCTACTCGGGACTTGGAAGCGTTATCTCGCGTTCGGAACGGCTGTCAGCAAGTATGGAAACTGGCAAGTCGATTATAAGTACACGATGGCGTTCGTCCTGCATGCTGAGGGGGGCGACCTGAGGAAGGTAACGAGGGCTCCTAAATCGGAGGCAGAGATAGTGGAGCTGAACATTGATGAGGAGCAATTCAAGAGATGCACAGCAAAGCACGGTGGCGAGGAAGGAAACGAACGAGAGGTGTATAGGCGGTGGGAACGACATCCTAAACGGTTGCAGAAGTTGTGCAGTTTGTTTTTGCACGAGGACCAGGGGGTGATTCTTATTGGAAAGTCGCATGTCGGACTTGTGTGGGAGCTCCTGCRCGYTGGCCATMATKTTTTCRCATGCGACTCGTCGTCAAAAGACATTTCATACTTGACGAAGGTCATCGAAATTCTCGGGAAGGATGCGAGAAACGAATGCACCGTTGAGAGACAGAAGACTGCGCATTGTCCTGACAGGGACATGTACCACAAGCTGGGCAAGAAGAGAAACAAGATGTGGGAATATTTGTTCCAAGGCCAACCCAAGACGCCATTCAAACATGACTGCATTGTTCGCAAAGCGATGGCACAGGAAGCGTATAGTGGCTACCATAAAGCGCAAGTGGGGTCGTTTGCGATGTTCGTAGCAAGATGCGAACGAATGAAGTTCGGAGGAAATCAGGCAATGCTAACGTACGATGGATACAGCAAGATTGCCAAAGAATATGATGCGTGGAATCCGATTGAGAGCGATGAGGAGACTGGAACCTCAGACCTCGAAATCGAGGAGCGAGTGAAACGTATGCGAGAGGGAATGRAAAGCGTGCCTGCATGCAACGCGCCAAGCCTCCAGGAAGAAGAAGTTCGCACGAAATCGGCGGGTGCGAGCAGTCCAACGCGTGACGTGACCGACAGGGCGAGTTCCATTGAACACATGCAAACGGATTCCCTTACGCCAATTCAAGCACTTGAGAATGTACTGATTCATGGCAATCGTCAAGGGTTCCGGGAAAAGGTTCAATCTCGAGGAAACCCTGTCAATGAAATGCGGACAGACAATGACGAGGATGACTTTGCGGTTCCAAATGCCCTCCCGAAGCTGATGCCCGGTGATGATATCCCTGATAGCATTGCGCAGGCCAGTGAACAGCCGTACTTCATTCCAGACAAGGTGCTAGAAACGACGTCTGACAAGTGGGAGCATCACATTTTGTGGCATATGGACCTATTCGAGCCATGCATTGTACAGAGGAAGTGGATGATGGCAGTCCATCTAACAAAAGGATRGAAAGTCGGAGCCAGACTGGATGAAGCCTCGTGGCTGAAATTGGCGAAGAGCGAAATCGTATTTCGTGTTAGGAAAGAAAATGACGGAGCGGATG